ACACAAAATAAAATGGAAAAAAATGAAATAAAGTAAGAGAAAAAAAAATTTTCTCATTGTTGTAATTAAGTAACATTTGTAATGTTATTATGTTTCCAAACTTTGTGAATTATAGTTACTAATAGGAGTACAATGACTTTCTAATTGTACAACACAACTTAAATAAAAACAAATAAATAAATGATTAAATAAAATTATTTTATAAGTGAAAATATGTAATTTGTTTGTATTTATTTTCTTTACCAGAATCATGGGGATATGTGAATTTGTACTAAATTTAGAAGGAGGTTTATAACCATCTTGGTTTATAACCACTACAGTGTCGAGTTCCATGCCGTCTAGGCTCAGCATTGTATGTTTCAATTCCTGTACATAAAGTCATCTATCAAACAGTTGAGAGAAAAAAAACTGTTCAAAATCCTCTTCTGCCATATTATCCTCTTAACATATTAAAGCCTGATAGCACTGTACTCACTAATACTAAATTTGAATTCATAAAATGTCACCATACCTGAAATGCAGACACTACCACAGACCTATTGATGTCATACACTAAGCCACTTTTTTGAAAGAAATATTGTCTAAATCATTAAGAATATGGTAAGAATATAGAATTTGTCTTACAATATCTAATGTAAGAAATTTATCTCTGTATTCCTTTTACAAAATAACCCCTGCTAATCTCTATGCTCTTGCTGTGTGAAGTCCATCATAAAAATCATTACCAGACCAGTCTCAAATTATCACTTTGAGAGTTCCTGTTAATCAAAAATACATTGCAGAGTAATTAATTCAACAGCATAAGCAGACATATAAGGGAACCAATAAAATATATTATCTTTCTGTAGCATATAAGAAATACAAAAACCATGATATACTTCAGGTTATTTGAAGGCATGTGATCAGAAAGATTTGTGGTTTAATAGTTAAACGTTTAGAAAATCACAATCCATGTTAATAAGAAAGGGAGTTCTAGAGTAGATAGATTTAAAAGAATAATGTACTTTCAGCTTTCAATGATATATTTATGATTTTATTAGCTGCAGAGCTTGGAAGTGAAAAGCAAAAAATGAAGCAAGTCAAATTTTATAGATTTTGATCCCATGAACTTCAAAAGTTCACCATTTTGTCAAACAATTTTAATTATAAATATATATATAAAAAGTAAAATGACCACATATTTGGAGGTTTCTGTCATATTTATCCAAGTTTTATCTACACAGATGGGAAGTTTAAAAACATTTACTTACTACCCCAACTGGCAATATTTGCCATTTTTAGGTTAGAGGTTTTAATTTTTACTTATTTATCCAAAGAGAAATGTTAATAAAATGTGCATAAAAACAAAATTCTAATTCTGAGCATTTCAGTTATAGTTTTATTTTGTAGGATATATGAAGGGAGAGATCACATCATTTTCACTCAGAAAAAAAAACACACAAGATATCAAACAAAAGAGGCTAAACAGTTTTGAATTTACCCATTTTTCAACATCATACATATCTTGCTTTCTACAAAGCTTCTTTGCCTTTATTTTCTATTGTGTGAACTAGCAAAATTGGTTGGTAATGTTTCTTGCCAGCAATATGAAATGTAACTCAAATGCTAGACACCACCATTCCTACCGTAATTGTTCCTATTTCTGACTAATTTGCATTACATATTTACATATGTACAATATCACCCTCACTGTAACAATTTATTCATTGAATAATGCTTTTGATAAAGGCAAGTTCTCTACAACTATACTATGAAATCATATCTCATTTCATGTTTCTTCTCATTAAGTACACCAGCTGTATGTATTATCACAATTTCAAATGTATCTTGCATAGACTAAACATAAATAATTTACAATAACCACAAAGACGCACAACCAAAAACACATGTATGTATGTACATATATATATATATATAT